GTGCAGCTGGCAGACCTGCAGGCGTGGGCTTCATCGCGTAGAGTCTGCATCACCTACAGGTGACGAAGCGTGCTGTGTTGAGGCCCAGCTAAAAGCCGCCCATGAGGAGGTGGAGCGGCTGAAGTCCGCGCAGGTACCAACACACACTGACCACGCCCAGACACCTACCACGGACTCCGCATGCTGGCGCAGGAAAAGACTCGCGTGACAGCCTTGGCAGACTTCTTCCGCCCATTTCCAGTCATGGCCTCTTGCATGTCGTTCTAAGGCTGACGAGGTTGCGTCAAAGGAGCCTGGTGCTGCGCTTCCAACTTTTCTTGCGTGGAGCCTATGCGAATGCAAACTTGACCATTCGCCGCGTGTTCATCCATTTAGGCACGGGTTCGCCGCCAGATGGCCACGGCCAAGGCGCCGGTTTGTCCTGGGCCACTCGTGGACCAGACTGTTCATCCACATGTTGTGCTGCTTCTCATGACGAGCTGGTCGCTACATGTTCGTTTTTGATGAGCCGGGCCATTCTGGGGACCAGACTACTCATCTCTACATGGTTGCAATGCTTCTCGCGACCAGCAGGCTTATGTATCGCTAGAGGTATCGCTAGAGCGTCTCATACCCCCCCCCCCCCGAACTACAGGCAAGCGGCGTGGGGCACCGAGTGTGCTGTCTAGGGACAACCTGTAGCAGATCACTTTTTCGAATGCAGGAAGGCGCTGCCTAATCTGCCGAATCGGGGTTGGACTATACTGGAGGAAGTGGTTGGGGCGTGTGCTGTCTAGGGGCAACATGTGGCAGCTCTCTTTTTCGAATGCGGGAGGGCGCTGCCTAATCGGACTTTAGGGCATGTTTGGGGCACGCGGGCACAGAGCATGCTTTCGAGGGGCAACATGTGGCAGTGTGGCAGGCAGCTCACTTCTTCGAATGCGGGAGGGCGCGCAAGCGATCGAAGTGTGTGCTCCAAGCGACCCATTTGACACAAGTCTTCGGTGGCTGTTTTGGTTTAGGGGTTAGGGTTGAGGGTTTAGGGTTTAGGGCTTCAATGAACCAGTGTTCCAAGCAATCCGCAAGGCACAAGTCTTAAGGTGACCTCCCAGGAATTTCATGTGACCCAAGTGTGCCAGGTGCGCGAAGTGTCTGAAGTGTCATAAAGGGGACCCAAGTGCCCCCGCCCCTGGAATTGGCCGAAGTGGTGAATGAGGTGTCCCCAGTGCCAGTGCCCCCGCAGGTGTCCCAAGTGACCCCGAGCGACCCAACCAAGTGTTCCAAGTGACCCAAGAGTTCCACGTGCTCCCAAGTGACCCCAACGTCGCGTGTGACTCACGCGATTTTCAAAGCTTCAAGCAACCAATGTGGAACAAGTCTTAGGTGGCGTAAGGGCATCCCAAGTTGCCCGTCCGAGTGAATGAAGTCTGTGCCCAGTGCCAGTGCCCCCAAGTACTCCAAACTGTTTCACGTGACCCCAAGCGACGAAAGTGTGCTCCAAGTGCCCCAGGTCCAAGCGCCCCGAGTGCTCCAGACGACCCAAGCGACACGCGTCTTCTCTTAAGTGAGTCCCAAGTGGCCTGAGTATCTAGTGACCCAGGTGACCCAAGTTGACCTCAGCAACCCAAGTGTTCCCAGTGCAGACGAAAGTGTGCCACGTGTCCCAGGTGGCCCAAGTGTCGCAAGTGACCCAAGTGTTCCAAGTATAAGTATCCCAAGTGTTCCCAATCCCCCCAAAATTTCCCAAGCGTCCCAAGTTTTGACCCCAGGCGACCCGAGTGTCCCAAGTGCTCCACATGACCCATGTGGCACAGCTCTTAGGGCTTAAGTGAAGAGTTTCATATCAAGTTCGTCAAATTCACTTTGCATCAAGAGTACATTTGAGTACATGTTGCTTTGTAAAAAAACACAGAATGCATTGCTTCCATGAGAGTTGTGAGTGGGTGGTCGTGCAGTGGGGAAGTCTGCGCTCTGACAAAGTACGCTTCCGTTTGACACGCCCCAAACCCTAAACCCTACAACGCTAAACCTAAACCCGAAAGCCTAAACCCTAAACCCTAATCCTAAACCCTAACCCTAAACCCTAAACCCTAAACCAGACTACACTTGGAGGGATCGGTTCGGGGCTAAGGTTGAGGGGCCCTAAACCCTAAACCTTAAACCCTAAACCCTAAACCCTAAACCCTGAACCCTGAACCCTGAACCCTGAACCCTGAACCCTGAACCGAACCCTTCAGTCTCAAGCCGCAGGCCGCCGGCCTGGTGGAAAAGGGCCCGGCCATGGTTCCTTGGCTCAGGTTAAGGGTTTAGGGTTTAGGGTTTAGGGCTAGGGTTCAGGGTTTGGGGTTTAGGGTTTAGGGTTTAATGTTTCGGGTTGAAGAAAATCCGGGGTTCAGGGTTGAAGGTTTTGCGGGATTTAGGGTTCTGGGGGTTAGGTGTGCAGGGTTTTGGGGCTGAAGGCTTTGGGCATTGAGGGTTTGGGGTTGGGGTTTAAGGTGATAGGGTTTGGGGTTTAGGGTTTGGGTTTAGTGCTATAGAGTTCAGGGTTCAGGTGTTCGGGGGGTTTTCTGCGCTTTGCGTACCGTGGCTCCTCGCCGCCGCGCTCAAAGAGCAGCTCCCATGGCAAAGCTTGAGTAGGACCCCTAAACCCAAAACCCAAAACCCAAAACCCTAAACCCTAAACCCTAAACCCTAAACCCAAAACCCAAAACCCAAAACCCAAAACCCTAACCCCCCCAAACCCCAATGCCTAAACCCCAAAACCCTGCACCTGAAACCCTTAAACCCTAAGCACACCCTTGTGCATCGCCGTACAGTTCCTGGTTGTGCAAACCGCAGGCTCCAGCCTGCATTCTTTGTGGTACATTACTGTAACTTTAGATCTTTAGTTTTTTTGGGTTTATTGGGTTTCTTGAGAAGGCAGCTAAAAATTGAATTTTTAACTACCCCCCTAAGTGCAGCCAAGCATTGTGGTTGTTCCGGGGTCCCTGGCATGCCTCAGTCCCAGACTCTTTCTGGAGTGCCCAACGCAGAGTGGTCCCTGGAGTGCCAACCCTAAGTGTCCCTGGCGTGCCCAACCCCAGAGTGTCTCAACCCTAAACCCTAAACCCGAAAGCCTAAAGCCTAAAGCCTAAAGCCTAAAGCCTAAAGCCTAAACCCTAAACCCTAAACCCTCGAAGTAAAATATTTAGGAATCAATCGTTCCACAAGGCTTTAAGGGCCATCCCAGGCCCGCAGAATGCGCAGTCCTCCCCCAAGCCCAAATGACCTAAAAAGCCCTATAGGGCCTAAACTCTAAGGGTTTAGGGTTTAGGGTTTTAGGGTTTTAGGGCTTTAGGGTTTTAGGGTTTTGGGTTTTAGGGTTTTAGGGTTTTAGGGTTTAGGGTTTAGGGTTCAGGTTTAGGGTTTAGGGTTTAGGGTTTAGGGTTCAGGGTAGTTGCAGTTCCCATAGTATGGTCCCTTGCCTCTTTAAAGGGTTCTGAAGTATGGGCACTTGGAGTTTTGTAGGGTATATGAGGGGTATATATATGTGTATATATATATATGGGGTCCCCATAAAGGGCCGTGTACAGCAACTACCCTGAGAGAAGCCCTCAACACCCCTTACCACTGGCCTACGAAGACCTCGGCAAGATCCCGAGGCGGCTTCGGATGTAAGGGTGTGCCGGCCTGGAATTCGATGAAAGGCCCGTCTTTTTGGCAACTCTCAAATACTTGATGAGTTCTTTGCCGGGTCCTCCCACTTAGATTCACAGGCAACATGTCCCTCAGTCATGTGTGGAGATGCGGCTTCCACGGGGGCAGACCAGACAAGAAAATGCTGCCACGCATGTTTTCCTCGGTGCCCATATAGATACACACATATATATACATATATATATATATATTGGTAGAACCCTGTCGTTCCGATCCGTCGGTCTCGCGAAGATCATGGTCCGCATTGCCTATTTGTCTATGGACAACCGCGGCGAGCTGGATTGCCATGACAGCTTGACCTTTGCACACCTCCAAATCTTGGGTCACCGTGTGGAAGAAGTGCCCTGGCGCAGTGACAGCAAGGAGGACGAGTCATCAACTTCGGGGCCGAATTCGGACAACCGCTGGAGTCGCTACGATTATGTGATTCTGCGATCCTGCTGGGACTACCAGAGCGACCCCGCGTCGTTTCTCCGGGTCTTGGAGACAATTGAAGCTTCCACTGCCACACTCCTCAACCCCCTTTCTATTGTGCGTTGGAACATTGACAAGGCGTACCTCCGTGACTTAGAATCCCGGGGTGCAGCCATCGTGCCGACAATGTGGTCCGACCATCTGACAGCCACGCATATCGAGGAAGCTTTTGCAAAATGGAAGACAACGAGTGAGCTCATTATCAAGCCGGCTATCAGTGCCAGTGCATTTGATACCTTTCGGGTGTCTCCGGATGGAGTCGGTCGTTTCATGAACGACCACGGGCACATCTTTGCCAATCGCTCCTGCCTGCTGCAGCCCTTCTTGACGGCCATTGTGACCGAAGGCGAGTTTTCCCTCTTCTACTTCGCGGGTCAGTTCAGTCACTGCATTCTCAAAACACCCAAGGATCAGGACTTTCGGGTCCAAGAGGAGTACGGAGGGATCAACCGATTTGTTCCGAGGCCGGAAGCAGCCTTGCTGGAAGCAGGCGCGCGGGTCTTGTCGTGCATCGGGGAACCCTTGCTCTATGCTCGACTGGACTTTGTCCGCAGCCCCGACTCCCGTGATGCGTTTGGGCTCATGGAGGCCGAACTTATTGAGCCGTCACTCTACTTCAATCTCGATCCGTCCTCAGCGCAGAGATTCGCCAAGGCCCTCCATGAGTGGATCGCAGCCGACTCCCGACATGCGAGTGAAGAGCTTGGACAAAAACCCGTGCTCTTAAGCTCTGTGGGGGTGATGATTATAAATAGTTTTACTAAGGGGCCATAAAGGAATAACTATCAGGAATTCTTCCGGCCCCTGCAGTAGAAAGTTCTTGACTCCTTACCCGGTGTGGCCCAGGTCCAATGTACCAGCTGCAATCGCGAGACTCCGGACACGGGGCTGCTCTTCCGCGCGTGCAGTCATTGCGGGGCCCCGCTGCAGAACCCGCCTGTGCAGAAGGGCAAGGATGGCCCTGGGGCTTGAGGGTCTAGGTGCTAAATCCAAAACCCTAAACCTTAAACCCTAAACCCTAAACCCTAAACCCTAAACCCTAAACCCTAAACCCTAAACCCTAAACCCTAAACCCTAAACCCTAAACCCTAAACCCTAAACCCTAAACCCTAAACCCTAAACCCTAAATCCTAAATCCTAAATCCTAAACCCTAAATCCTAAATCCTAAATCCTAAATCCTAAATCCTGAATCCTAAATCCTAAATCCTAAATCCTAAATCCTAAATCCTAAATCCTAAATCCTAAATCCTAAACCAAACCCAATCCTAAACCCTAAAGCCTAAACCCCAAACCCTAAACCCTAAACCCTAAACCCTAAATCCTCCCAACACGGCCAGGAGTTGCCAAAGCAGATCATCCTCCTCCCGAAGGATGTGCAGCGCGGGTGGAAGGCCCCTGCCGGGCCTCAAGAGGGGAGTTGGGGTTTAGGGTTTAGGGTTTAGGGTTTAGGGTTTAGGGTTTAGGGTTTAGGGTTTAGGGTTTAGGGTTTAGGGTTTAGGGTTTAGAGTGTGGGGGATTTACGGCCCCAAGCCAAGAAGGAAGCTTAGCCTTCTTAGCCCCTGGTTCTTTATTGGAAGAAGTACGCAAGTACGAGTAATGCAGGGGCTTATTTGCGACTGTAGGCAGGTACCTAAGCCCTAAACCCTAACCCCTAAACCCTAAACCCTAAACCCGAAACCCTAAACCCTAAACCCTAAACCCTAAACCCTAAACCCTAAACCCTAAACCCTAAACCCTAAACCCTAAACCCTAAACCCTAAACCCTAAACCCTAAACCCTAGCTTTTGGTATTTGCTCAGTCTCCCAGGGTTTTATGGTTTAGGACCCCGGGTGCCTGGTCCAGGATGTCAAAAACCCTAAACCCTAAACCCGTAAACCCTAACCTCTGAGCCCCCAACTCTAAACAGGGCTTAGGGCTTAGGGGTTGGAGGGGTTTAGGGTTTAGGGTTTAGGGTCTAGGGTTTAGGGTTTTGGGTTGAGGGTTTGGGGTTGGGTTTAGCCGTTAAATTCGAGACTCCCCTCCCTGCAGCCCGAAACCCTGAACCCTAAGCCATCCTAAAGCCCCAAACTGAGGCCCCTGAAGCTCTAAACCCTAAACCCTGTCTTGCCTGTTAGTGTTTAGGGTTCAGGGCTTGGGTTTCGGGTTTAGACCCTAAACCCTCTCGTACCTATTAGTACTTGAATGTCATTTATTCAGATCAATGGGCACCAGCCCTATTCAGATCTCGGTCAATCGGCACAAGGCTTAGGGTTCAGGGCGTAGGTGTCATAGGGCAAAAGGTTTAGGTTTCAGGCCCTAGGGAGGTAGGATTTACGCTAGCTTCAGGGATTCTAGGTGATTTAAAGAGCAATGCGGAACTTTGCATTTGCTGAATGTTATGGGATTCTTTGGGCGGGTGGGACTTTTTCCAACGCTCGATAACCTGCTTGGCTAGTGAATGCTTGAACTTGAGATGCTGAAGCCTAAGCCCTAAACCCTGAACCCTAAACCCCAAACCCTAAACCCCAAACCCCAAACCCTAAACCCCAAACCCTAAACCCCAAACCCCAAACCTTAAACCCTAAACCCCAAACCCTAAACCTTCGCTCCGAAGCACAGAGGCCTTCAAGATGCCAGACGGGCGCATCTTCGGAGCCCGTCTCCCTGCAGATGCCCAGCCCGGGATGCAACTCCTGATGCGGTGCGGGTGAAGGAACCTCCCTGAAGCCTTGAACCTTGGGATGGGTTTAGGGTTTAGGGTTTAGGGTTTAGGGTTTAGGGTTTAGGGTTTAGGGTTTAGGGTTTAGGGTTTAGGACCCTAAGCCGCCAAAACGTGGAGGTTGCCGGGTTGAGGCTTCCTGTTTGCTGCTGTGGGGGGGGGGGGGAGGGCGAGGGGTCTTGAAAGTAGCTACGGATCGCTTAGAACCTGAAACTGGGTTCAGGGTTTAGGGTTTAGAGTTTAGTGTAGGGTGCAGGGTTCAGGGTTTAGGGCTTAGGGTTTAGGGTTCAGGAACTTTGGGACATTCGAGCAACCTCCGAAATGCAAGAGTTTTTTCTCAGAGGGCTTTTAAAGCGCAAGCCAGCAACTCCGAAGAAGGACGGTCTTTTCGGAGTTTGGGGTTGAGGGCTTGGGGGCTTGGGCTTAGGGTTTATGCTGGTGTGAACCAGCAGGCTGAGCGGCTAAAAGTGGAGTAGACGTCATATCCCTGCAAGACTCCCAACACATCCTTGGCTCACACAAACGCGGAGTTCTTTTACACTCGGCAAAGACCAAAGAAAGCAACTTGATGCCGTGCAACTTGCGCAATGTTGTAGGGCTACAGCACCCACATGTTTGAGACTGTACATGCAGTTAAAAGTGCATGCTCAAGCCCTCGCGTTGTGCGTAAGAGCAAAAACGCAACAACCAGGGAAGCAACAAGCTTGACTACAGCCAGACATGTGCAAGAAGTAGTGCGCTTCAACAGTTCAGGTTAGGGTTTAGGGTTTTGGGCAGTTTCGGGTTAAGAGTTAAGAGGTTTGCGGGTTTAAGGTGTTTTGGGGGGTATATGTGAGACGCTTCTAGGTCTATGCGTTTGGGATGCAGATCATTGTACCACCCCAAACCAACCCTATTGAACAGGACACGCTGGATCGCCTGGAGGGCGCAGGGGACATACTCTTCAGCCTTGCCAACGACTGCCCCGAAGACCTCCTCTTCGGGGACTCCAAGGACTGCCACTGGCCGCACGAACCCATTCCTTTCTTGTGCCAACATGCCTCATATATTGTGTTATAAGAAGCTGCATTGGATTTTGTTGTATTGTTTGGTGTTGTGTCGTATTGTATCGTATCGTAAGGTATTATATGTGTATTTGTATTTGGCATTTGCCTTTGTATTTGTTTTGTTTCTGTGTCCTGTATGGTATGGTTCTCTGTATATGTATATGTACATGTATATGTATATGTATATGTATATGTATATGTATATGTATATGTATATGTCCCCGAGCTGTGCGTGGGGCTACTCTCGGTGGGAGGCTCAGGGGTGCCGTCGCATGAGCTGGCCGCGTGTGACTGCTGGTGCGCCAAGCGCAGACCAACCCACACACCCCCCCCCCCCATGCCCCCACTCCCTCCTTCCCCCCCTCCCCCGCCCCCCATCTCCTGTTTGGTTCCTCTCGTGCGCGCTCTTCTCCTTTCTAAAGGGTGCTCTTGATCTGTGCATCCCCAGGCTGCTGCCATCGGCCTCAGTTGTGTGGCTCCAGCTCAACACCTGCTTCACCCCTGCGTGGGCCATGGCCGGAACCTGCTACCGCTGCCACAATCGCATTAGCCAATCTCGCATTCAGGCAAAATTGCGCAGCTGCGCTTTACATGGTCGCCCCTTGCAAGCAGGCAGCCCCACCCTGACTCGCAAGTTGTGCAGCATGGTGGGATGCAGGCTTCGTCTCAGCGACGTGCGCCTAAGGGCTGGAGCTAGCCGGTGCGCTGCTCATGGTGGGTCTTTGCCCCGCAATCTGCAGCTGCGTCTTTGGGCGCGCCTCCTCTGCGGCAATGCTCGGCAGCTCCTTCGTTCACAAAGGCCCTTCTACTGCACGTGTTACACCGACATGGACGAAGTCCTCGCGCACTATTGGCGCTCCCTCCTACAAGGATGCCGTAGGCAATAATATGCGAAATCCCCCAAGCTGGACCTTCCTTCGCCACTTTGATGCAGGGTTTTGCTCTTTGGCTGGGGGGAGGTGCGGTGCCTTGGCGTCACTGCTTGGCAGGGTCTGACTCTGGGTCAGGAGGCATCCAAGGAGTGAGGCCAAGGGGCAAAGTTAAGAGGCGTAGTCGAAGCCAAGGCGCGGGGCTGAGGCCACACCAAACCTAAAACTTGTGCAAAGCGAATCCAAACAGGGGATGAGGCACGCCTCCCCCTCAACCCGACCAGACAGAGAGAGAGAGAGAGAGAGAGAGAGAGAGAGAGAGAGAGAGAGAGAGAGAGAGAGAGAGAGAGAGAGAGAGAGAGAGAGAGAGAGAGAGAGAGAGAGAGAGAGAGAGAGAGAGAGAGAGAGACAGAGTAGACCCCAAACTGGGGGGGAGGCGCCCCCGCCGAAGGGCAAGGCCAAGGCGCGGAGCCACACCGAAACCCCCCTCAAAAAGAGAAGAAAAAGGCTTCCCCAAACCCAAAACATGAGAAAAGCGGCGCAGCCAAGCAGCAGCTCGGGGGAGGCGCGCCTTCCCCCCACCCAAGTAGCAAGGCCAGGGCCGAGCCAAGAGGAGGAAAGGGAGGCAGGTCAGGCATCGGGAACCCACACACAAGGGGCATAAGCCGAGTGCAAGGCACGAGTTCCAGGCCTAAACCTAAGTAGAGCCAGAGGGCGCTCCTTCCCCGCCCAAGGGGCTGCAAGGAGGCGCAGCTAAAACCCTAAAACCTCAAAAAAAAACGCCAGAGCCAGGCACTGCTTTCTAGCGTCCGTTCCATGCCCGGAATGCTGGAAGGCACGGTCTATGTTGAAGGTTATGTGTGAGCTTGCAGCTTGGTTTGCAGGGGAGGCCGTGCGTCAAGAGCCTCGTGCCCTAACACGGGCTAGCCCGTAACATCAAGTCGCCGTCATCACTTGCAAATCCTCACCGAGGATGCGGACAGCAGCTACCAAAGGCAGGACGCCTGCGTCAAATTTTTTTCGCTTTTACACACGTGACAAGAGAGCCTAAGGGCTGGGACGCAGAAAGCGTCAATGTTTTTCTACCGGACGCGCCAGACATGTTCGGGGGTTTTGCTAAGCTCACAGAGCCACCGTTGTGTATGATAAAGCTCCAGGTCGCTTTGGATCTCATGAGGCCACCGCCGCTGACACGCTTTGAGGAGGCTGCGGCCCCAGGCTCTGCAGACAGCAGGCTCCAGGGAATTGAAGCCCGTGACCGCTGACAGAACCAGTAAGACCCCAAAGGCAGTATGTGGATCTATCTTGAGGGTGAAGGCGAGCGAGACCAGTGCGACGAAGATCATACGCCAGCACGTTGGCCCAAAAAGAGCCGTAATCTGGCTGCTGGCAGATGAAATACAGCAGCGGTCTCCACCTGTCCTGAATGGCCGTAGCCGGTCCAACAATTGCAGTGCGAAGTACGGCTCGGGCTGTCTCCCGGCTCCCTGTCGCCACGGCCGTGTTGAGGCGATTGATGTGCGAGGATTGGTGATCATCCGAAAGCACTGCAGCACCATTTAAAACGATCTGCAGCAGGGCTGGCGCCAGAAAATCCTGGTATGCCCACTGGCTGTAGCCGGAGTGCGAAGCAGGTCTGCCTACTGACCGCCCCACTTCGATCTGCGCAGCCCCTTTTTCCCGTCTTTTCTCCCTCCTGCTGCCCCGAAGGCCTGGCCGCATCAAGCTGAAGCGGCATCTCGAGTTGATGGCCGCATGATGCACAGTTTTTTGGGCTCTGTTGCACTTGTGAGTGACCGAGACAGAAGCACGAAGCCCTGCTGGCCTAGAGCAGGCGCTGTACGGTAGTCCAGCGGGAGGGTCCCCGCAGCTACCGGGCACGTCTACGTGCAGCAGCAGCAGCAGCAGCAGCAGCAGCAGCAGCAGCAGCAGCAGCAGCAGCAGCAGCAGCAGCAGCAGCAGCTGCCGCCTGGAATACAGCTGTTTGCTGCGCGGTCGCAAGGTTTCCAGCCCGCCTCATCCACGATGCCGGCGGCAAATGTACACCTGTCTGCTCCCAGTTATGTGACATCACATTTGACATCTCAGCCATCCTAGAGTAGGCACCCGGGGCAGCAGCCGTACAGGCCCTGGGCCGCAGCCCGATGAGCAGCAGTTCTCAGTGGTTGATCAGCTGGGGTGGCAGCAGCCTGCGCCCATGGTGCTGGCGCCGTGGCATGAACGGCAGTAGCTGCGCGGGACACGGCAGTTTGCTGCGCGGCAGTTTGCTGCGCGGCCGCATTGTTGTAATCCTGCCCCAGCCACGGTGCCGGAGTACAGCGCAATGCCTGCTCCCATGTGTGTGTGTGTGTGTGTCGTCGCATTTGGCAGCATCATCGGCCCTGGCCGACCCATGCATGTCGCCAGCGGTTGAGGCCCCGTAATGTCTGAGGCACGCTGCTGCTGCTGCTGCTGCCAACCCAGCCGAGAGCCTGTTGTTCAGGGTCCCGGTTATGTGGCTGCTGCCCCGGGTGCCCATTCTAGGATGGATTCTCTGCAAGACATGTCCTGTGCGCCACTTTGGATGGACGGCGGCTGGACCGCAGCCTGATCTACAACCACCTCTCGGCGAGGCAGGACACAGGTCTCAAGACTTCACAGATGATGCCGCCACACATATGCCTCGTCTTGGAATGCTGCAACCAGTACAGTACCAACCTAACCGCCTCGCAGATCAGCAAATGACATGCAGAAGACGGTCCAGCGCGACGGAACATCCGAGGGCCCCGACGAAGGTCTCCCAAAACATCCCGCAGCAGCTACAACAACAGACACACGGATGGGCCTGCGGGTGATCAAGGCACATCGGCGACTGCCTCATCAACAGCGGGGAGAATCATACCCCCCCCACTCCAAGCCCTGAGGCACCTGCAGGACTCTTTGTTGGTGGATTACCTCAGCGTATGTCGCATGCGGAACATTCTGAACACCTTGGCCCGAGAATCACCCACTTTCGCAGCTCTGCAAAACGTCAGTGTGCGATGGCCGCCGGGCCCAAGATGGAATCGTGCTGTCTTCTTGGCGCACGCCTTCTTCCGCCGTCCGAACTCCGCAACGGACATATGGGAAGAACTTCGAGCACGCCTCCAGGAACGCCGTGGCCAGTATGTACTGCCCACTCCCAGTGGACCGGTGCGCCTTGAGATCGCCCGGCACGTGTTAGCGACTCTTCACACACTCGAAAGGGCGCAGGGAAGACTGGGGGTCAGAGCCGTGGAAAAGGCAAGGGTGGAAGAGGGAGGTCTGGTACGGGAACTGCTCGAGGCGTCCGAGATACAGCGCGACCAGCCCTCCCGACACTGCCTCCCAAGCCCCCCTCCCCCAACAATGCGGACAACTTCGAAGCGGACCAGAACGGTGAAGCGTGTGGCCCAGCTTCGACATCAAGACTGTCGAGGCGCCCAAATCCCAAACACGAGGCCCCTGCAACGTAGCTTCGGGCCTTCCACTCAGGCAAATCATAACGGGAGGAGCCCACCCATGCACCAGATCTATGCGCGCGAGCAGTCAAACTGTGACAAATAATATCTTCCGGGCAATGATGTTTACGGAGCCCGGGGCACCCTGCCAGTCTGAACTCCAAGCGGAGGGGCAATGACGTCTGAGATGCCGGGAGGGATACCTCTGGCATGGCCCCGTATCAAACGGGAGCCGCGCCTCACTCACTGTATATGTATATGTGTGTGTGTATGTATCTGTGTATGTATGTGTATATGCTTCTGTATATTTGTATGTGTATGTGTATGTGTATGTGTATGATATGCATATGTATATGTGTATGTATTTGTATATGTGTATGCATATGTATATGTATATGTATATGGATATGGATATGTATATGTATATGTATATTTATAAATTGCTACCGCCAGTCGAGGGGGTGGGGGGGTGGTATGGGGGTACGGGGCGCTAGGGTTTCTGTGGGTAGGGGCGGGGGGGGGGGCAGGGGGGGGGTAGGTAGGGGTGGGGGTTGGGTGGGGGGGGGGGGGGGGCATGCCTGCATCATCATGCACAGAGAGGGGATGTTATCGAAGTGTGAGGACAAGACAAGACAGGTTGATGAAGACAATGCGGGGGGGTGTGGTCACACACACACACACACGCACACACGCACGCACACACACACACACGCGCGCGCGCACACGCACACGCACACGCACACGCACACGCACACACACACACAACCAACACACAACCAACACACACACAACCAACACACACACAACCAACACACACACACACAACCAACACACACACACACAACCAACACACACACACACAACCAACACACACACACAACCAACACACACACACAACCAACACACACACACACACACACAACCAACACACACACACACAACCAACACACACACACAACCAACACACACACACACACAACCAACACACACACACACAACCAACACACACACACACAACCAACACACACACACACAACCAACCAACACACACACACACAACCAACCAACACACACACACACACACAACCAACACACCAACACACCAACACACCAACACACCAACACACCAACACACCAACACACCAACACACCAACACACCAACACACCAACACACCAACACACCAACACACCAACACACCAACACACCAACACAACAACACACCAACACACCA